ACCGTTCGCCTGAGTTCTTCTATCAACACCACAACAACAGGGCTATAAACACATGCGTCTTTGAAAAAATATGTTCACAGTGGCTAGCTATACTGTCCATCGACTTTCATTGTAGGTTCGATACTCCCCATACGGTCCAGGTAACTAAGAATATGCCCAGCTTGACTTTATTAACAGTTTTAATAATAATCATTAAAAAAGTTTTAAAAACCCACGTTTTCTGATTGAACTAAAAAGTAGAAAATAAATGCTATACATCACAATAATGCAAGCGATCACTCTACTATAAGCTATCAAAAACGTGGGGCGCCGAAGTAAAAGTTATATTACTATTGATTAGATAATACTATTGACTTTTATTAGGGAGCTTGTAGAGAGTCAACAGTATTAGAAACTGTAAGAAAATCACGGCGCCCCACGTTTTTGATCGCTTATAGTAGAGTGATCGCTAGCATTATTGTGATGTATAGCGTTTATTTTCTACTTTTTAGTTCAATCAGAAAACGTGGGTTTTTAAAACTTTTTTAATGATTATTATTTTCTACTTTTTAGTCTTTGTCTGTTTGTTTGCATTAAAATCTTGCTATCGATTTTATCTTTTCACTTTTTTTGGGTAAACGAAGACAACTCGTAAAAAGACAACTCGTAAAAAGACAACTCGTAAAAAGACAACTCGTAAAAAACACGTTGTTTGAATACGTTACTGACTAGAACACATAGATTTGAACCCGTGTCGAGTGGGATAGCAATCGTGTGCCCAACCACTCGACCATATCGTCTCCCCCAAACTGGCCTACCTCCTGTAAGTTTAAACTCGGTTCAAGCTAAATTCTCTGCCCCTAAGCCTGTGGCGACATGTGATCGTTCGCTTCACTGCGCGCGAGGTACGCGTCGCTGGTTTTTTTTCTAATGGCTAGCAGAGGAGAATTATATATATAGATTATATAGCGGTCTAAAATGCTCAATAAAATGTTTCCATTGATCAATTTAGTAATAATAACAATTGAATATTCAATGGTCATCCAAAAGAAAGCTTCCCTGAAAATTTCAGCGCGCTAGCTAACTGGGAAGTGCCAGAAATTTCGATCGCAAGATTTGATTGGAAAGACAAACAAACAGAGAAAGCAAGTTAAAGAAAACGTGGGAAAATAGTTCTCTCGACACCTCGTTACACTTATTCTCGTATCATTCTTTGTCTTCCTATTAAACTCCCCCCACCTCCCCTCTCCATTCGTCTAGTGCTCCGACTTCCTGGTCCCCCCTAACCCTTCCCCCCGCACACACACACGCGCGCCCTAACACATGTATGTTTAATGTGTGGCAAGCAGGCCCCAGAACCCACAGATAAACAGCTAAACACACACGGGGACCCTGTTGGCACTAATCAGTTGACGGTCCTGGCCCATCCGCCTAAACACATTAGCTCGTCAAAACACAGACACGGTCCCATCTAAACCCTGCTTTTAGAAACTCGGCCTTATTTTTGGACTTTCTCAGGAATTCCGGATTTTTTTCTGTAATTTTGGAGCATTTATCATAATACTGTTGTTGTTTTTTTTTCACATTATTTTGTTTTTCTATCTGCAATCACATAACAAAAATGTAGCCTATATCTGTTTTCACATCACTTATTTCAAATGCTAACTGCATGCGCCTGAGAGCGTGTCTTGATTCCTATTGTGTTTGGCTATTTTGTTTATCTATTTCGTCTAGCGTTTTTTGGTTAGCTATTGTGTTTATTTATTTAGCTATTTCGTCTAGAGGATTACCCTTATCATTCATTTCCATGCGACTGATTTAGCGCCGGATATGGTATTCTGTTTCTATGTTAATTCAAGCCGTTTCTTCGTGGGATTGTTTTCTAGTTTTTATTTTAAGGAATATATTACTGATATCATGCATCGCAAAATAACCATTTTATATATTCTGGAGACATGTTATTTACTGTAATTTTACAAAAACAAACTTTAAAAGTGCTGAGTTGTATCTGTTTTAATTTTTATCTCTTCCAAAAAGTGCAACTCTGTGGAGTACCTTCCCTTTACTATTTTTTTTTAAATTAAATCCCTTACAATAAAAGGGAAGCGACTGGAATTTTAGATCGTGTTTTGATGTTGTTCTTGAACCAACCCAGCAAGCAAATGTTAGCGTGACGATGAGGCACGCTTTAAATCATACACCGTGTGGTCAGTGGGGCCGCCGCAACGTGTCAGTTGTTTAGTGGACACTTGCCAAAAGTGGGATTACAGTTTCTAGTAATGCACCGGCCGGCTTGGTGCGTGCGTTTGAATGAGTTGGGAAAATATTGACGTCTTGTTCGGGATGCGCATGTGTTGAACGGATGCCGCTGTACGGTACTGCTGGTGGCGGTGGTGGGAAGATGGTGGTAGATGACTGGGCACGCTGTGGCTTGGTGCGGTTACTTCACTATGATACTCTTGGATTATCTGCATGATTTTCTTGGAATATGCAAGTTTAGTTGTGGAAATAGTTAAAACAGTGTTATATATAGTTCAAGATATGGAGTTAAAGTGATAGATATGCAGTGAATATTGATTAGTTTCGGGTTTGGTGTTTATTTTGTGTGAGTAAAGTAACGAGAAAAAAAATGACGTATGGTTATTGGATATCTGGATTACGTTAAACCCTGGCTGGATAATTCTGGATTACCTTAATCCGCTGCGTCGGTAGCTTCCCGTCCGTGGATGGAGGCGGGAAGTAGATCGTACCATGATGCAATTTGTGGTGCTTTAGTGGCTGCCATGTGCTACATGAAAGCCAGACAGGACCAACAGCAGAACGGCGAACAGCAGCAACAGCATTTCGCGGCGCAGCAGCATTTGACTGAACAGCCGCAGTCGTCTATCGGGACAGCCACATCATCGCCGTCGTCTTGCAAGTCGACATCCACCTCCTCCTCCGTACAACCTCCGTCGTCGTCCCTCCCCCCGCCCTCTTCCTCGTGCGAGAGTGAGTCTCTGGCCTCCAATTCGACGCCTCAGAAGGTTCAGGAGGTCAAGGTCGTGAGACACAGGCCTATATTTGAGGCAGTACCGGTAAGCTGGGTCTATGCTAGGTGTGTGGGTGGGCTCTGTGGGGGTAGGTGGGTGCAAGGTGGGTGGGTGGGCTCTAGATGTGGGGGTAGGTGAGTGCAAGGTGTGTGGGTGGGCTCTGTGGGGGTAGGTGGGTGCTAGGTGTGGGGGTGGGCTCTAGGTGTGGGGGTAGGTGGGTAGGGGTTCTAGCTATGTGGGTGAGTCGGTGGGTGCAAGCTTTGTGCCTTGCTGCTGTGTATGTGGGTTGTTGGGTTTTAGGTATGTGCGTAATTGCTAGATGGGTGGGTGGGTTCTAGTTATGTAGGTGGGTGCTAGCTGTGAAGGTGTGCTAAATGTATGAGTGGGTGCTAGTTGAGTGGATAGGTGGGCTCTAGGTGTGGTTGGGTGCTAAATGTATGAGTGGGTGCTAATAATGTGGTTGGTACTAGCTTAATGAGTGGATGTTGACTGTATGAAATCGCGCAATAAGCAAGTCTGTATCCTGACTGTCAAATGACATCTACGGTAGATTTCACGTGTCTCTGTGGTCTGTGATGACAGCAAATCACATTATTGTCAGATCTTCGGTCAGCTGACATTACTTTATAACATAAGTTAGAGCTAGTTTGGCTCAAAGACGACCTACAGATTATCTTTTAATGTTGTATGTTTTATGCTGTATGAGTAGAAATTACTTCAGGTCGAGAACACTATCACGCTGGATGGAGCTACTTGATCAAACGTGTTGTACATCAATCAAAGCAAGGGGGGAAAGTTTTAAAGACATTTGCTTCAGACGGATAGAAAATTAATCATTTATTTCTCAGTTTTCGTAGATCCAGAATAACTGACGGATTCAATTATGTCAGTTTCCTTACATCTAGAATAACTTGTAGATTCGATTTGGTCCTTTTTCTTCCATCCAGAATAGCCGATAGATTCGGTACTACTCCAGGATGCATCTATGCAAACTAACAAGTCTTCTCTCAGTCTCCAACTGACCTTATGGCACTCGCTCTGGCTTCCTAACACGCCACCCCAGCCCCACCCTATTGCATCACTGAGGGGTAGGCCACTCATCCCCTCCCATCGCATCAATGAAAATTAGCCCCCCTCCCCTCCCCCACTTTCCCAATGCGTCAATGAAGGCTAGATCCCCATATCCCCCTTCCCATTGCGTCAATGAAGTTTAGGCCAATTTACCATTTAACAACACGCCTGCTTCAGTGTTTAAAGGGGCAGGAGTAGGGATGGATGGCATGTGGTCACCCATGCATTAGCATCGTATTGATTATTTTTTCCCCTCGCGGTGAGCAGAGATGGGGATCGTCATAAAACTGTTTGAAGATATTTTTTTGTGAGTTGAAAAAATTCTAGTCTCAATGGCATGTTGCTGGGCATGTCGTGGTGATCCTGCCGACGGTCTTTTCACATCCACTCGGAAGTTTATGTGTGTGTAGTTAGGTCAACAAGTAGTACCCCAACATACTATCGCGTCAGGAATCTCCATGGCAACTAGGATTTGTCTGGACCATAACTCTAGCCCATGAAACTAGTCCTAAAATAACCCTTACCTTTTACCCTAAATTTATCTTGACCTTAACTCGTTAACCTCACTCTACGGCTCAGTGCCATCATTATTTTTCCTTCTTCGAGTTCCGCTTTAAACCTGCATATTTTTTACGTTATTAGCTGGGTATTGAAAAGCAAGTAGCATCGCTTGATATTTTTTATACCTTCAGTTCACTTTAAATACTTTATTTTTTACAAACACTTTATTCAAAAGTTTCAAGTTTATAACGTAATCACTTCTGATTGTTGTTGTTGTTTTTTTAAACAGATAGATTTTTTTTAAAAACAATTTAAAAAAAGATTCGGATCATGGATTTGAACTCTATTTCTCAGGTTACTGACATTCACGCACCGTATGTTGTAGTTATAATTGTATTTTATTTTTTTTAATTTCAGTTAAGCACAGACTGGACACAGCTTGAAGTCATTGACCTGATTAATGATGGCAGTGGACTCGGGTTCGGCATCATTGGTGGACGTAGCACTGGGGTGGTGGTCAAGACGATCCTCCCTGGGGGGATAGCTGATGGGGTAAGTGGTTGCTATGGAGATTACATACATCAAATAATGTGGACCAACTTACAGTAGATTGTGTTGATCAGCAAGCACCAAGTTATTTAGATTAACAATGTATGTAACCACATTATGTTATGTCGATCAACTTAAAAACTATTTATTGACAAAAATACGCCAATATACATAGACAAACGTAGATGACATGAACTATCGTACTTTCACCATTACCAGTAGAGCCACATACTACATCTCTGAAATTAGTATAGTCATCTTCTAACATTGCCAGCTAGCTTAATTAACTCCCCTTATCTTGGTTTAATCATCCTTACCTCCCCTGAACCAAGACCCTTAATCAAAGTCTTTAAAAAAAGTTTGCTATTCGACCTTCACACAAGTGGCTGGTCCATAACCTCACAACAGCCACTCTCATCTATCCCAATACGTGAATACAAATACCAGTTAATTCAAATTTTAACTATATCCTTTAAGCCACATCTAGGTAAATGAAAATATCAGACAATTGAAACTTTTGAATTTAAATATCAGACAATTCAAACTTTTGAATTTAAATATCAGACAATTCAAACTTTTGAATTTAAATATCAGACAATTCAAACTTTTGAATTTAAATATCAGACAATTCAAACTTTTGAATTTAAATATCAGACAATTCAAACTTTTGAATTTAAATATCAGACAATTCAAACCTTAAGTATGTCCCTTTAAACCACCTCGGGAGCAGATTTTCTCCCTTAGTTCATTAAAGGGACTGTACTCTGGTTTCATTTATTCCAGCATTTCCCGCCTCTTGACTCCTCTACTCGGCCTCCTTGTCGTCTGCTAGCCTCGCATCATGCAGAAACTTGACCGCAGTTCGTGTTCAACTTCAGATTTATTAGACAGTTTCCTACGTTGGTCAATAGTTCAACTTCAGATTAATTAGACAGTTTCTTACGTTGGTCAATAGTCCAACTTCAGATTTATTAGACAGTTTCTTACGTTGGTCAATAGTCCAACTTCAGATTTATTAGACAGTTTCTTACGTTGGTCAATAGTTCAACTTCAGATTTATTAGACAGTTTCCTACGTTGGTCAATAGTTCAACTTCAGATTTATTAGATAGTTTCTTACGTTGGTCAATAGTCCAACTTCAGATTTATTAGAGTTTCCTACGTTGGTCAATAGTCCAACTTCAGATTTATTAGACAGTTTCCTACGTTGGTCAATAGTTCAACTTCAGATTTATTAGAGAGTTTCCTACGTTGGTCAATAGTTCAACTTCAGATTAATTAGACAGTTTCCTACGTTGGTCAATGATGTAGTTCAACTTCAGTTTTATTAGACAGTTTCCTACGTTGGTCAATGATGTAGTCCAACTTCAGATTTATTAGACAGTTTCCTACGTTGGTCAATAGTTCAACTTCAGATTTATTAGACAGTTTCCTACGTTGGTCAATAGTTCAACTTCAGATTTATTAGAGAGTTTCCTACGTTGGTCAATAGTTCAACTTCAGATTTATTAGAGAGTTTCCTACGTTGGTCAATAGTTCAACTTCAGATTTATTAGAGAGTTTCCTACGTGGATCGAACTTTAGTGGTGATGTGTGACAAGGGGGGAGGAGGGAGTCAGAAAGTGCGACGACACACTTTTGTGTTTTAAAAAGTTAGGTTAGAAACTGAATCATTCTGCGTTTTTTAGAAGACAATTTTTTATACGGATCCATTTACTCAATGTTGACTGAGCTCAGTAGACATTTTATAAAGAAATATGTTCTTTAAAAAATGTTCTATCAGTTAAAGGAGGTGTTAGACTCAGATCTAATGTCAGTTTAGGGGGTGTCACATTTAGTGATAGTTTCTGACGATTGGAAAGGGGGAGGATAAACAATGGCGTCGCTTCTGCATGACTCCTGTAGTGAAAGTTAAAGGCGACTCTTGTAGTTTATAATAATAAAACTAAGAGGTCAACTAGCTAAAATGAATGATTTAGAAATCCTTTATTTAAAGTTCATATTTTTATATTTTAGTTTTATCCTGCTGAAGTTTCTAAAAATGTTCCGATTTTAGTACTCAAAAGGTCTATTTTTAGTTGCACTAAAGACATTATTCTAATGGTGTGTTCTGTTTCGTTTGTTGGTTGGTTTATAAACGATTGCCGCGATAGTTGTAATACGTCGATAAAACATGACTTGAAGTATGTGCAGTAGATGTAAAACACGTTGATAAAACATGACTTTAAGTGCAATAGATGTTAAACACGTTAATAAAACATGCCTTTATGTGCAATAGATGTAAAACTCGTTGATAAAACATGACTTTATGTGCAGTAGATGTAAAACTCGTTGATAAAACATGACTTTATGTGCAGTAGATGTAAAACACGTTAATAAAACATGTCTTGAAGTGGGTGTGATTGTTCGCCCACGGAAAGAATTGCTCCCGTACATGTTGTTTAAATGCGAGAGAATTCTTGTAGATAGCTAATTATGGAGGCATTAATTATTCAAGTGAGTCGGATAGCAAGTGGGATGTCTGGGCGGGATATCGGGTTGCAGAACATGCCACGATGGCAAGTAGTTGTCCAGATTTTTCTGGGAGTCACTGCCAAACCTGCCAGATTTTCGAGTGGTTGTCCAGAATTTAATGTGTCACTTGGCCACTCTAACCCGTTAAGTTTTCCTTTCAACCTGGCAAGTTCCGTTCGTCGTCACTAACATGGCGTCAAGTGCATCCTTATTTTTTATTTGTAGTGGTTAGTTTCTATCCTAGCTCGGGAATATTTAGACTCAGGTATCTTTTGACCCGTTTTAAAATATACCAAAACGAGACCTCGTAAAGCCCCTGTTATAAAAACGAAATTTCGTAAAGCCCCTGTTATTAAAACGAGATCTCGTAAAGCCCAAGTTTTAAAAAACGAGATCTAGTAAAGTCCCTGTTTTAAAAACGAAATTTCGTAAAATCCCCGGTTTAAAAACGAGATCTCGTAAAGCCTCAGTTTAAAAAACGACATATCGTAAAGCCCCCGTTTTAAAAACGAGGTCTCGTAAAGCCCCGTTTTAAAAACCGAGATCTCGTAAAGCCCCTGTTATAAAAACGAGATCTCGTAAAGCCCGTAGTCTCGCGTTGTCTAATCTCACCCACATCGAACACATGCGGTAAAAACCTGACGAGAGATGGCATGACATCATCGCTATTTTTAGCTACACGAGGATACCCTACCCTCTAGGATCATCTTCCTGGCAACCATACATTCATACGCTGGCATTTAACGACAGATTTCCATTTTTAGTTCTTTCCCTTGTCAGATATCCAATTTTTTTTTACTTATCAGCGTTTAACGATTCGCGCTATATTTACATAGAAATTGTTTTTGTTTTCTTTTGTTTCAGATAAGGTTTGCAAAAAAAAATTATTTGGCTGCGTGGGAAGTTTTATTTTAGAACGGAAATCTCAAAATGGATTTCCAGTGTGGTGTAGGGGGTGGGGGGCAACGCATAAATAAAAAATTAAAACTAATTATCTAAACAAAAAAAAGTGATATACCGTAAATTGTTTTCCATATAATTCAGGGAAGGGTGCGTCATAATAATCAAAGCCTTTAATTAGACTACAATAATGTGAGACGGATGGTTTTAATGGTAGACTTGAGTCGTGTAATTGCTATGTAACACGATACACAGAGAGAAACATCTGTGTGGTTCTACTGGCTCGGTAGTATTAGCTGAAACCAGAATCTGCGAGGTAGAGAAAGTAGAACAGTTTTATCCTCAAAGGCTATAGAGTGGAGTTCACAAGAATCTATGACTATATTCTTTAACACTTGCAGTTAAAATTTCTTTGACACTTGCAGTTAACATTTCTTTGACACTTGCAGTTAAAATTTCTTTGACACTTGCAGTTAACATTTCTTTAACACTTGCAGTTAAAATTTCTTTGACACTTGCAGTTAACATTTCTTTAACACTTGCAGTTAAAATTTCTTTGACACTTGCAGTTAACATTTCTTTAACACTTGCAGTTAAAATTTCTTTGACACTTGCAGTTAACATTTCTTTAACACTTGCAGTTAAAATTTCTTTGACACTTGCAGTTAACATTTCTTTAACACTTGCAGTTAAAATTTCTTTGACACTTGCAGTTAACATTTCTTTGACACTTGCAGTTAAAATTTCTTTGACACTTGCAGTTAACATTTCTTTGACACTTGCAGTTAACATGTGTTTAACATTTCCTGTTAACATGTTTGACAGTAAAATTGTGGAGTAGTTTGGCTTGTCGCCTCTCGGTTAGCTCCACTCACTATTGAAGTTGTTAGCTATCACAACTTTTGACCCCCCCCCCCCTCCTTCCCCCCTCTCATGTTGTCAGTTACTTCAAGTGAGATTGTGAGACCCCCAAACTGTTAGGTCATCTGACATTGTGAGACTCCCCTCCCTAACTAGTACTTCGTCTAACATTATCAGACACCCCCCCCCCAAAAAAAAAAACACACAACTCGCATCACTCAAAATATAGTTCAGTTTTTTCGGTTGGTCTAACTATTGAAATGGTTATGTACTGTTTGGCCAAAGTTTTTCAAAGCTTATGTTCCGTGTGGTCAAGTTTTACATCATGTACCATTTGGTCAAGTTTTCAAACCTTATGTTCCGTGTGGTCAAGCTTTACATCATGTACCATTTGGTCAAGTTTTCAAACCTTATGTTCCGTGTGGTCAAGTTTTACATCATGTACCATTTGGTCAAGTTTTCAAACCTTATGTTCCGTGTGGTCAAGTTTTACATCTTGTACCATTTGGTCAAGTTTTCAAACCTTATGTTCCGTGTGGTCAAGCTTTACATCATGTACCATTTGGTCAAGTTTTCAAACCTTATGTTCCGTGTGGTCAAGTTTTACATCATGTACCATTTGGTCAAGTTTTCAAACCTTATGTTCCGTGTGGTCAAGCTTTACATCATGTACCATTTGGTCAAGTTTTCAAACCTTATGTACCCTGTGGTCAAGTTTTACATCTTGTACCATTTGGTCAAGTTTTCAAACCTTATGTTCCGTGTGGTCAAGCTTTACATCATGTACCATTTGGTCAAGTTTTCAAACCTTATGTACCCTGTGGTCAAGTTTTACATCTTGTACCATTTGGTCAAGTTTTCAAACCTTATGTTCCGTGTGGTCAAGTTTTACATCATGTACCATTTGGTCAAGTTTTCAAACCTTATGTTCCGTGTGGTCAAGCTTTACATCTTGTACCATTTGGTCAAGTTTTCAAACCTTATGTTCCGTGTGGTCAAGCTTTACATCATGTACCATTTGGTCAAGTTTTCAAACCTTATGTACCCTGTGGTCAAGTTTTACATCTTGTACCATTTGGTCAAGTTTTCAAACCTTATGTTCCGTGTGGTCAAGCTTTACATCATGTACCATTTGGTCAAGTTTTCAAACCTTATGTTCCGTGTGGTCAAGCTTTACATCTTGTACCATTTGGTCAAGTTTTCAAACCTTATGTTCCGTGTGGTCAAGCTTTACATCATGTACCATTTGGTCAAGTTTTCAAACCTTATGTACCCTGTGGTCAAGTTTTACATCTTGTACCATTTGGTCAAGTTTTCAAACCTTATGTTCCGTGTGGTCAAAGCTTCACAAAGAGTTTGTGTTTCAGGATGGTCATCTGCGCAGCGGGGACCACATCCTACAGATTGGTGACGTCAATGTCCGGGGGATGAGCTCAGAGCAGGTGGCGCTGGTGCTGCGTCAGTCCGGCAGCCATGTCCGACTGGTCGTGGCGCGATCCGTCCTCGAACCTCCAGCATACCAGGTGAGTCCTCGAACCTCCAGCACGAACCTCCAGCATACCAGGTGAGTCCTCGAACCTCCAGCATACCAGGTGAGTCCTCGAACCTCCAGCACGAACCTCCAGCATACCAGGTGAGTCCTCGAACCTCCAGCATACCAGGTGAGTCCTCGAACCTCCAGCACGAACCTCCAGCATACCAGGTGAGTCCTCGAACCTCCAGCATACCAGGTGAGTCCTTGAACCTCCAGCATACCAGGTGAGTCCTCGAACCTCCAGCACGAACCTCCAGCATACCAGGTGAGTCCTCGAACCTCCAGCATACCAGGTGAGTCCTTGAACCTCCAGCATACCAGGTGAGTCCTCGAACCTCCAGCACGAACCTCCAGCATACCAGGTGAGTCCTCGAACCTCCAGCATACCAGGTGAGTCCTCGAACCTCCAGCATACCAGGTGAGTCCTTGAACCTCCAGCACGAACCTCCAGCATACCAGGTGAGTCCTCGAACCTCCAGCATACCAGGTGAGTCCTCGAACCTCCAGCATACCAGGTGAGTCCTTGAACCTCCAGCACGAACCTCCAGCATACCAGGTGAGTCCTCGAACCTCCAGCATACCAGGTGAGTCCTCGAACCTCCAGCATACCAGGTGAGTCCTCGAACCTCCAGCATACCAGGTGAGTCCTCGAACCTCCAGCATACCAGGTGAGTCCTTGAACCTCCAGCATACCAGGTGAGTTCTTGAACCTCCAGCATACCAGGTGAGTCCTCGAACCTCCAGCATACCAGGTGAGTCCTCGAACCTCCAGCATACCAGGTGAGTCCTTGAACCTCCAGCATACCAGGTGAGTCCTTGAACCTCCAGCATACCAGGTGAATCCTCGAACCTCCAGCATACCAGGTGAGTCCTCTAACCTCCAGCATACCAGGTGAGTCCTCTAACCTCCAGCATACCAGGTGAGTTCTCTAACCTCCAGCATACCAGGTGAGTCCTTGAACCTCCAGCATACCAGGTGAGTCCTTGAACCTCCAGCATACCAGGTGAGTCCTTGAACCTCCAGCATACCAGGTGAGTCCTTGAACCTCCAGCATACCAGGTGAGTCCTTGAACCTCCAGCATACCAGGTGAGTCCTCTAACCTCCAGCATACCAGGTGAGTCCTCGAACCTCCAGCATACCAGGTGAGTCCTCTAACCTCCAGCATACCAGGTGAGTCCTCGAACCTCCAGCACGAACCTCCAGCATACCAGGTGAGTCCTCGAACCTCCAGCATACCAGGTGAGTCCTTGAACCTCCAGCATACCAGGTGAGTTTGAATTACTAACACCTTAACCAGGCCCTGTTGTCTGTATTTGATATACATATAAGACAAGCACAGGCCCATAGAAATGTCTCCACTATGGACAAATATTCCATACGGTCCAGTATGAAATTCCCCTTGACGGCCCAGTATACAAGTCTATGGTCCATTACAAGTTGCCAGTAAGACCTAATAGTATCATGTCTGTCCCCAGATTCCCCACGCCCCCATCATCCCCACCCACCAGCTTGATGAACACATGGAACACTTTAACGCCGTCATGGCCATGGAAGCCGGGGAGCAGGAGCACTTCCACAACATCCAGCTCCAACACCAGCTCCAGCAGCAGCTTCAGCACCAGCTTCACCAGCAGCTGGGCTCCGTCCAGGTCCACGGCTCCGTCCAGGTGCATCCGGTAAGTCGCTACACTCTCATGGCCTGCGTCTACGTTCTTAACTCTCATGGCCTACGTCTACGATCTTAACTGTCATGGCCTACGTCTACGTTCTTAACTCTCATGGCCTACGTCTACGTTCTTAACTCTCATGGCCTACGTCTACGTTCTTAACTGTCATAGCCTACGTCTACGTTCTTAACTCTCATGGCCTGCGTCTACAATCTTAACTGTCATGGCCTACGTCTACGTTTTTCTTCTTCGTTCTTAGCTGCCATGTCCTACGTCTAAGTTCTTAATTACCATGGCCAACGTGTACATTCTTATTCTCATTTCTTAGCTGTCATGGTCTACGTCTACGATCTTAATTGTCATGACCTATGTCTACGATCTTCTTCCTTCATTCGTATTTGTAATAATAAAGTGTATTTCCTCCAACACAATTAAGTGTAAGTGTCTATATTTTATGCCCCATGTGTCCCTTTGACTACGACTCGAGTCTGCTTTTCTTTCTGGATTAGCATCCGTAGCCTTTGTCCACCCAAGAACAATCCCCTACTTCCACCCAACATCAACCCATGCTTGAGTAAAACTTAAATAAAATCTAGCTATTCTGTTTTTTACTTTATCCTTATGAGTGGGGTGGCGAGTCATACTTAGATCTAGTAATGTTGTAAGTTGTAACCAAATAACTCACTGAACCTTACTATACCTGTCTGAACAAACGTCCACAGCAACCCCCGGATGTCTTGCCGGAACTGGCGGATGTTGACGTGTTTGAAGTGGACTTGGTCAAAGATTCCAATGGACTGGGCATCACAATAGCTGGCTATGTTGGAGGGGACAACACACCAGGTCAGTGCTGTGTCCAGCATACATCGTCACGAGCGGGGGTTGTCCACTAATGTCTAACATCGTGACGGGAGGGGGGGGGGTGTCCACTAATGTCCAGCATACATCGTGATGGGAGGGGGGGGGTTTCCAGCTTCCATCATGGCTGGAGAGGGGGGTGTCCACCCTTGGTCGCGTCAACTCCCCTGAAACTACTGTATCATCGTTACTGATATTGAGAAAAATATCTAGGCATTGAAAGTGTACTTCTTATTACATTAGACCAGATAATGTAACTGAAATCTTTCTTAAGCTTCGGACAATCCAAAGAATTACTACTCATAGAATTAACATAGTATTATCACCTACAAGCATTATGTAGAAGTCTGCCCTGTAAAAAACCTGCGATATAAAAACCTAGAATGTAATGCCCCCTGTATCTGCAATATATATAAAATGTTTTATCTAATCCTTGAAATATTGACGTGTAGTTTATTGCGTATTCTAAAAGATGCCTTGGAAAGAATTGCACAAGCACAAGGGAAATAACCAACAATTTTGTCAAAACTTTGCAAGCCGGATAATTGTCTCCCTTTTCTCGTTACATGTACTGTTGTCTTAACCCTGGTTGATCGTCATTGATAAAAAGTCTTAAAATGGGTACTTTGTTGTTTTCTGTAGACGAAATCTCTGGAATATTTGTCAAGAGTATCACAGAGGGGAGTGCTGCAGCCTTGGATGGGCGAGTCCATGTTAACGACCAGATCATCGAGGTAAGTCCATTATCTGGGTGGGGGGGGTGGGGGGTCTAGCGTGTGGGTGGGAGAAGACTGGCAGGGTGGTGGGAGAGGGTTGACTGGTTGGTGGGAGAGGGTGGTTTAGAGGGGTGATGGTAGAGGGTTTGCAGGTTGGTGGTAAATAGCCGCCATGTGGTAACATCTCAACACCTGATACTCTGTAGCTATTTCATACGACCCGTCAAACCACAAGTATCACATAACCCGTGTCACGGTGACCCAATCATTCGACCTGTAGAATACAACCCATGTTTTATATACTGAATGACTTCACTGCCTTAAGGTGACACATATATACTTACCTGAATCATCGCACCTACAGAATTGTGACCCATGAAATATTACCTGAATGGTATGACCTCCATAAAGAAATCCATTGCATCTTGTTTAATCTACATAATTTGATGTATATCTCTTAGCCTGTCAGTTCAGTCACATCATGCCCTGTGTCATTTGACTCGTACCGGATGACAAGTGTCATATGACATGATATCAACCTAGATATCTGACCCCTGACATAACCAACCACCCAGCCCAGCTGCGGATTGGTTGGTTCCTGTGTGTTTCAATCCTCCGGGTTATTGATTCTAGAATCGTGTAAAAAGTGTATCTGCTCCACACTGTGGCACAGCCAATCTTCATCACCTGGACAGTAGGGACCCCATGACTGGTTACCTTAGGGGTTTTGAGACACAGACAGCCCATTCAAACACGGATTGAAATCTAATGCCTGCTGATGGGGAGGTTCTGTTCGACCTGATTGGCTCAGCGTGGAGCAGAGATCAAACAGTCCTGCAATCAATGAGTCGATTGGTAGTGCCGCAACAAGGTTATGGTGTCCATCCCCCACCCCCAACAAGGCTATGATCTACATCCCCCACCCCCAACAAGGCTATGGTGTACATCCCCCACCCCCAACAAGGCTATGGTGTACAATCCTTCCCCCACCCCCAACAAGGCTATGGTGTCCATCCCCCACCCTCCAAAAAGGCTATGGTGTCCATCCCCCACCCCCAACAAGGCTATGTACAATCCTTCCCCCACCCCCAACAAGGCTATGGTGTCCATCCCCCACACCTAAAAAGGCTATGATATACATCGCTCCAACAAGGCTATGGTGTCCATCCCCCACCCCCAACAAGGCTATGATGTACATCACCCCACCCCCAACAAGGTTATGGTGTCCACCCCCCACCCCCAACAAGGCTATGATGTACATCCCCCACCCCCAACAAGGTTATGATGTACATCCCCCACCCCCAACAAGGCTATGATGTACATCCCCCACCCCCAACAAGGCTATGATGTACATCCCCCACCCCCAACAAGGCTATGGTGTACATCCCACACCCCACCCCCAACAAGGCTATGATGTACATCCCCCACCCCCAACAAGGCTATGGTGTACATCCCACACCCCACCCCCAACAAGGCTATGGTGTACAATCCTTGCCCCACCCCCAACAAGGCTATGGTGTACATCCCTCCCCTCCCCCAGCCTCCAAGTTTTCAACTATTTGTCATTGTGCACATTTACTATTACATTCGCCTACAATTTGACAATGATTTACACGTTAATTAATTAATTTGTGTTTATAACGTCATAATTAGTTTTCATTTGTCAGCAAATTGATTGTTAATTTACTTTTTGCAACAATTTGGTTGTCCATTAATTTTTTAACAAAAATTAATTTTTTAACAAGTTGGCCGTTATTTTTTTTTTAAAGTTGGCCATAAACATTTGACAGCACTTTGACTATCCTCGTACAATCCAATACATCTTCCCCCCCCCCCCCCCTCTTCGCACTATTTAAATTAAATGAACTTTTTTAAAAAAGTTTTAAATGTTTTATTTATTTATTTATTTTTGCTATTGCAAACAAAGATTTTAAGTAATGCTCTACAAAAAACTATTATTTTGATAATCCGTCTAGACTAATTACACGCAGAATCCAACTTGATCTAGCAGGCAGCTTAAAATAGTCTAATCACAATGGGTGATTGAAGACGTCAAATTAAGGAGAAAAACACGTTGAAGTGGGCGGGGATTAAAAACAAAATTTGTAAAGTGGTGTATATAAAAAATAAGGTATTTCAGAGCGTGTGGGGGGGGGGGGGGAATATTTGTACCGTATGAAAGAACGCTAGGAGGGACAAGAAACAATGAAAATGATGAAAAAACATGCTGTTAGTATAAGCAATCTGTACAATATAATCAGGACACTTATTTTCAATCACTTCATACTTTAGGCATGCAATAGGGCTGGTAAGTAGGTCACCAACCAGTTCTACGGCTCAATAAAACCTGCATGAGTCATAGAACTGGTTGGTGACCTACTTACCAGCCCTATAGGCGACAGTCATGACATGACTCGTTTCATTTCGATTCTAATGATTTCTCTCATTTCTTTAACTCGCAGTTTATTCACACGTGCCGTTTGGCAAATCCCAGAGCTGCGGCTCAGTGCACTCTCTTGTCTGTCCAACTGTGAACTTTAACCTTTAGAAACAGGAGGACATGAATAACATCGGGGAGAACTATAACCCCCAATGTCAAGGTCATCAGAATTGCGCCGAAATAGCCGATGCCCTGAGACGACGGTCGGCCGTCTGGCGTCGAGGTCTTGCTCCGTATGTAGGACGACAGGTCGTGAGTCTCAACGGTCAAGTTCTTTTTGATCTGGTCAATTTCTTTCTGAACGGCCATTAGAGTACTGGACATGTTGATTCTGGTCTGAGTCCTACAGGAGCAGGGACAAGATGGTTGTGATCTGGTCTTGACACAGGAGCTACCATCTTGGTCAAGTTGGTAACCTAATGGGCAGGTACAGGTGTAAGAACCTAATGTGTTGACACAGGTATTTTCACAGGTGTGAGTTCCTAAACCACATTCGTCGACATCCACACAGAGAAATCTGCTGTCGTTGTGTAACTCATAACCTTGATGGCAGCTACAGGTGTAACCACCTACAGTGTTGTTACATAACTGGGAGCAGTTGTGTGTTGTAGTTTGACACTCGTCTATGTCAACAAATGAGCTGTTTACAATATGAGACCCACTAGGACACGTGATGTTTGCGTTGGTGGTTGGGATGTTGGGGGTTGTGGTAGGGATGTTGGCGCTGGTGGTTGGGATGTTGGGGGTTGTGGTTGGGATGTTGGGGGTTGTTGATGTGATGTTGGCGTTGGTGGTTGGGAAGTAAGGTCTGGTGGTTGGGACGTTGGCGCTGGTGGTTGTGATGTTGGCGCTGGTGGTTGTGATGTTGGGGCTGGTGGTTGTGATGTTGGCGCTGGTGGTTGTGATGTTGGGGCTGGTGGTTGTGATGTTGGGGGTTGTTGGGATGTTGGGGCTGGTGGTTGTGATGTTGGCGCTGGTGGTTGCGATGTTGGCGCTGGTGGTTGGGATGTTGGCGCTGGTGGTTGGGATGTTGGCGCTGGTGGTTGGGATGTTGGCGCTGGTGGTCGTGATGTATGGGCTGGTGGTCGTGATGTATGGGCTGGTGGTTTTGATGTTGGGGGTTGTGGTTGTTGTAATGTTGGGGGTTGTGGTTGTTGTAATGTTGGGACTGGTGGTTGTGATGTTGGCGCTGGTGGTTTTGATGTTAGGTGTTGTGGTTGTTACATAACTGCTTGTTGTGACTTTACTGCTAATGGTTGTGACGTTACTGCTTGTGGTCGTGTTGTCACATCCACTGCACGAATAGGTGGTGTTCTTTATACAACTCAGGCCGTCTGATGAAACTTTATAGCCCGTATTACATGTGCAGTAGTGTGTCTTGTCTCTAGTGGTACACATCTGCATACAGGTTTCACAGAAAGCATTGGTCCAACACAGGTAGTTATACCTGAGCTGACAAGAGCCTTGGGTTCCACTCTGAATCTGACAGCATCGTGTAGTATTGCATTGTGTGGTCTGTGGATTCAGTCTATTGTTGCACATATTGGTCATGAAATATGATGTCCCATTAAGCAGATCAAGCCAACAGAGACCGTCGACAACAACATTGCAGTTTTGGTCTTGAAAGTTGGCATCGTCAGATGTAAACAAGCCGTAATTTGTAAAATTCCAATATAGAGAATATATCTCCGAATTCGGATATACATGATTTAAATGAGCTGAAACAATAGAAACACGAGTTACACTACGTTGTGAATTAAATAGGAATTAAATCGTATATAACACACGTCGTATGAATTAAGTCGGAATGGCAGTTTTTCCACTCTTAGGACTTAGTCGCTTAGTTTTAGGACTTTCAACTAGGTCTACTCTAAGGACATTTTTGATGATTTCAACATTTCGTCGCTCACGATTTACTTGTGTTAAATTTAAGTAGGATACATTGAGCGGATATATTTCGCGGAATTTTCGCGCATACTGTATTATATAAATTTTAAAACTTATATTAATTTATTAATTTCATGTTTGTTGTGTCCAGTCAAGTTTTCTAGACTAAAACTTAAAACAAACAGTAAAATATTTTCTCCCTACTACGGATTGATTTATTTTCAATTAAATATTCGTTAAAATTGTTGCCAATGTCTGAACTTTGCCCGGAATTTAAGATTAACATAGCGGAAACTGTCTTACAACATTATTATAATGTTAGTTAAACGCATTGCCTCCACCTTAATACGCCTGTAATCTTCTATGTTGAGATTTTTGTTTTAGTTTAGCGGGCAGTGACAAATATTTTAATAATGGAAAATTATACGAAATAGAATAGGTAATGCTTTTTACATCCGAAGACAATTTTATTTACAGTTACGCTATTCTGTACATAAAGATTAACATTAAAGTAAAATTAATCTGTTTACTGAACTCATTATACTTAACACAGTTGTGTGTAAACGTACCTGATAAAACACAATATATAAATAATCCACCTTTTTTCATCGCTATGTTCCTGTTGATGTCGAGAATGTTTTGATGAAACGACAAACCCGACGTTATCGAGAGTTGAACTACAGCCTTGAGA